TCATGGCCACAAGAAAGCAGGCCAGAGTCCAGGGAACTGAGTCCAAGGAAACCAATGGTTTCCCACCCCTAGTATGGATTCCTCATACATCCTTACTCACGCATTTAACGAGCATGTGAAGGAGGAGCAGGAAGTATCCCTGCTGGCCCATTTAGAAGCCACAAAGTCACAAACCCTTTCCATATGACTCCTTCTAGCAAACCCAGTTAGTTCATGCCAGATTATATTTCTAGTATGGAAGCTGTTTTAGGACTTCACTGTGCTGCAGGGTCATGTATCATTCAGCTCAAGTGAATCCAGATACAGGCCCAAGCTTCTAGAGGTTCCAAGGGACATGTAGGCAAGCCTCTGGCTGCAGGCACATGTGTCACTAAGAGGCCTTCAGTGCAGCCGTTCAGGTGCCGAGTTGCCATATTCCCCACAAAAGCTGCAGTTCATACTGCCTCTCAGATATACAGTGGGTTAGAAGCTCCCACAATTGCCATGGAGAGAACAGGATGAGGAAAACATTATCCCTGGGCTCCTTCCTCACCATGCAAGTTCTGCTCCCACCAGACCAGCACTCAGCTGAGCAGTGGTGCTTGGAATGCCATGAGTGTGAAGGCGTGGGTGGTATTCATAGAGAGGGAATCTCCCTCATGCATCACTGCTCCCCATGAATGTCCCATGAGAGTGAAGGAGAGAGATGTGAGGGGAGTGACTAAAGGGAAGGAAGGCCATGTAGTGGGAGGTTGAGAGGAACCCCGAACCATCCATTGGGCCCACCCATTGGCAGGTGGCCCTCGAGAAGAAAAAAAGGTTGCTCTGGGGTGGAGGATTAGACAAATCCAAGGATCATAAGGCTATCAATGGCTCCTGGTAACGATGGGTATATACTGGCTGCAGGATCAAAGATGAGTTTGAATACCAGTTGCTAGTGAACAACAGCTGGAGAGGGGTTTGGCTTTCATGTCCTGCTTTTGTCTTCCCGAAGGCATCCAGTTAGCTTCTGTGGGGCACAGGGTACCTGCATCTAGTACACAACAGCATATGTGAACTGTGTATAGTGTGTGTGTGTGTACCGTACACACACACACAGAGAAAGAGAAAGAGAGAGAGAGAGAGAGTATATGTATGTGTATGCTTAACTCTACATAGCTTTCCCAAACTTTTAAGAGGCTAGAGAGTACTTGGAAGGGGACTTGGTGGGGAGGGGGCTGTAAAAGTTATCAGGTTATTCTGACACAAAGAGGAGTGCAAATTAATGGTTCTCATGGATATCCCCTCTTATTGTTCTGAGGTGTCTTAGGCAAACCCTTCTGTTAACTCCTGGGAGAATTTGACAAGTACCTGAGAAATTCCAGAAAAGTTGCTTTACTGGAATTGCAGTTGCATGTGGCTAGAAAAGGAGCATGTGCCAACATGAATAGATTTCTTGTTGAACCTGACTCAAAAGGAAGCTATCATATAATGACTCCCACACCCTGCTTTGTGCCCAGATGATAATTTTGTTTCATCTATCAAGCATTTTCACAAGATACAAATTTTAGGAGTAAATCCAGGGATGAGGTTTATTATGAAGCCACTCGCATTCCATTTTAATAATCCCGTCTGCTTCCAAGGCAGATTTCAGAGACGTATCCGTGTTCTGCTGGATAGCTTTAATGGGATTACCTTTAAGGCTGTTCTAATAAGTGGTGTTATTAAGTTGTCTGGCTCACATTGAGTCTTATACATAACCACTGGAGTTTCCCTCTTTTCTCCTGGTTTTGTTACAAATTGGAATTAGTGTCTATCTGGTGTAGGGTTTCAAGTTTTAAAGAGGATTGGATCTCATGGTTAAATCCACCCCCCACTCCCACCCCTACACACACTTTTAAATGAAACACCCGATTATCTTGGAAAATCCCATTCTCTTATTCTATAGAAGATGTCCAGAAAGTACTTAGAGACACTATTTAGGTCATATCTGAGGCAGCCATGTGTCCTTATTTACAGAGGATAGTCCTCCACTTTAACACATCCTTTATTATTAAATTTATGGCATGCCTCATAAAATAAATTTCTCTAGGCATTTTATTAATCATATATTATAGAATGAAACATTTTCCTGTAAGCCTTTATTTAAAGGGCTAACCTATCCAAACCTGTTTTAAAGATAAAGAGCTGTAAGAATTGTGGCCAATCAGTAGTTAGCACCTACACAGCAGACTAGACATAATAAACTATTATATTAAATATAATAAATAATTAAACCTGCACATATAAATTAGCAAATGCAAATTGAATGCAATCGATGTTCTCTTTTTGGATACTGTATGCACTAGACAAATCTACCATGAAATCTAAATAAAGGACCTCCCATGAACAATGTGACAGGGATGATTCCATACAAAGGAAAAGCAAATGAATAAGAAGCATTGTGGCAAGTACTCATGAAAGTCCATAAATATTCATACATTCTAGCTGGAATGCAACCATTCCAATACAAGCTACTTTTCCTTTTAATTTTTAACACACCACAGATGAGACAATGTACTAAGTTCAGTAGATGCACTATTTGCATGATCTTCGTAGCATATGGCATTCAGGTTAGTAGTGAATGCTGAATCCAGGGAGAAAGATTTTCTCTCTTTCAGTAGTTGCCCAGATGGGAGCTCACCATGCCATCTCCACAGATAGGGAAAGAAACCTGAAGCTAACAGGATACAACCATATGGACTCATCATTTATTCAGTATGAGTGTGGATATATTTGGTTGATTGTTCAGTAAGGTATGAAAAACTGAACATATATCCTTGAAAAATTGTCCCGTGGGTTCTTCTAGTAATTAGTTGTGCTCAGGTTTGAAGCCGGGTGTCTCAAGCTATCTGAGTAAACATCCTATTTTCTCTTATGTTGCTGGAAGAATTAGTAATCTGGTTATTTACTGTTATGCCTCTATAGAACTTTGGAAAAAGATTCCTGTTGCCTCCTGAGTTTCTGGGAGCTTTAGAAAGGAGAGGCTTGATTCTTAAAAGACTAAACAATTGTCTAATTGAGGTGGATCCTACACAGACTCACTTGGGGTTATCTAGAATGCTCCTGTAGCCAGTGCTCTTTCTGTGTCCTTTTGGATGCCCCCAGTTGGAAGGCTTCTAGGAAAGGTTGTTGTAGTTGTTCAGTTGCAAGGTAATGTCTGACTCTTCGCGACCCCATAGGCCACATTTCTCCAGGTTCTCCTCCATCATTCCCTGAAGTTCTCCAACCCCACACCCACCTCCCTGCTGACCCCATCCACCCCCCCCCCCAGCCTCTGCCATCTGCTTCTCCATTTGCCTTCAATTGTTCCCAGCATTGGGGTCTTTTCCAATGAGTCCTTCTCTCTCATTAGCTCAAAGTATTTGAGCTTCAGCTTCATTATCTGTCCTTCTAAAGAACAGTAAGGGTTGGTTTCCTTTAGGATTGTCTGATTTGATTTTTTTGCATTCCAAGGGACTCTCAGGAGTCTTCTCCAACATCACAATGCACAAGAGTCAATTCTTTTGCATTCAGTCTTCCTTATGGTCCAACTTTCACAGCCTCTGGGAAAGTTATTGTGCTGCAATTCCATTTTTCTATCTTAATGGATCAGCCCAGTGGAAGAAAGAACGAAAATGGAAGAAATGGAGGGAACTCACAGAAATGGAGGGAACTCACAGGAGAAGGAAGCAAGAGGATGGTATCATAAAAGCCTCATCTAATATCACCCCAATGGCAGTTGTTGCAAGAAGGGCTTTTTACCAGTTTTTTAATAGTCCAACTATTCCCCCCCTCTCTCCTTGGCGATCCTCACATTTTGAGAAGCAGGCCTGTCTTCTCTCATTCATATTATGTCACATGTCCATATTAGGCTCCTGTAGTGTGCTCTACGTGGCACTGTCCTTGAAGACACTCTGGAATCTTTAATTGCTTCAAAATGTACCTGTCAGACTTTTGAATAGCATCAGTCAGATCATATTGTATCAATATTGTACCAGTTTCATTGGCTGCAGTTTGTTTCTGGGCAAAATTTAAGGTGCTGGTTTTCACCGCTAAAGCCCTAAACAGACTGAGACCTTAATACCCCAAGAATAGTTTTTCTCCATACAGAGTAGCCTGGTGATTTTGCTCACCATCTGAAGCTTTGCTTTGGGTCTCCTTGCTGTTAGAGGCATTGGAACATGGGAAGCTGGGTCCACCTAGACTAGTATTGTCAGCACTGACTGGCAGCAACTTTCCAAAGCTTTCCCAGTCCTACCTGGCAATATTGGGGACTGAACATGGGACCTTCTGCATGTAAAACATGTGCTCTGCTACTGTGCCATGGTTCAAAGAGGACAGATGAGGACCCAAAGTGGGACCTTCATCAGCCATGACCCTAATATCTGAAACATCTTCCTGAGAGATCCATCATAGACTTCTGCTGTTCATTTTCAATGAAGGGCAGGCTGGGTTTACTCTCAGTGAGCTTTTGCAGACTATCACCCTTACATTATTTGATGCTACTACTGTTCTTTATAGTCTTTTAAGATCTGGTTTTGATATCTTGTTTTTATGATTACATATTGTTTTATTTTGGACTGTAAGCCACCTGGATTATTTTACATGAAAGCAAGGAATAAGCATTTAAAAGAAATAAAATATTTTGGCATAGGTCCCACTGAACTTAATAGGACTTTTGAGTAGACATGCATAGGATTTCTCTGGTTTGGTACATGCAGACAGTAAAACATATCCTTATTCCATCTTCTGGGATGCTCTCAATTCTGCTAATGCTTAGAAAAAGGAGAAGAATTAATTAAAGGTCTTCTGAAATCCTGGCTAGGATAAAGGAATGGATTAATCATATTGATAGGTCCCTCTTGGAACTATTTTATTTTATGTATTGATATATGTATGTATTTAATGCTGTTATATTCTGCCTAATTCACAAGAAATATATGTATATGTGCTACTGGTGGTTTTTTAAGTGCTATCTTGAAATATTTCTTTAATCTTCTGATTTTTACATGGCTTTAAAGAAAAAAGAAGAAGAAAAGAAAACTTTTACATACCACTGGATCCCCTGAGGGAGGAAAAACCCAAAACCAAAATAAAGAAAGAGCTAAGAAGAAATCACTGGAGATTGATTTTCCAAGTGGAAAAGGGGAGGATGGTGTTTTGAAGCATATCCATCCAACCATCCATCTATCCATCTGGCTGTGTGACTTATATTCTTGATCTTCTGATTTGCCTGTTGCTAATCAACTGTCTGCTCAGCTGCTGCCCATATTTCCTGCTATCTGAATACATTTTTGCAGCATCCTTTTAGAGGAACAGCCTTACGATTTGATGTCTTATGAAGCCACTCTTTTGTTTGCAGAGAAAGGAATCAGTCAGTCGCGGAGAATGAATGCCATGACCCACCAACCACCATACTTATTAGCAGACCCCCATGGAAACAAAAAGAATGGCATGGAAAGGGAGTCTGTCCAGGTTGGTGTGCAGTGGAGATAGATGGTGGCCTGTAGAAATGTAATTGCCTGTCTTCCACAAGTGAAGATGAAAAAGAGCTGCTTGTTACAGATGGTTATTGATCATCAGAATTGCTGAGATGACAATGACAAATCTTTCTAGTGACAAGCTCTGATCAGTCTCATGGTTATTTTGTTGGACCTGCATGTTTCCATTTCTCTCAGAGCAAAGACAGTGGAAAGTAGGTATGATCAATGTTTCTGTAATCCATTTCAACCTGGACCTGCAACATATCAGAGGGATGTTCTAATAAATGTATGGCCTTCCAGTGGAGTTTCTTAATTTGGGCAAGTTGGAAACCCTTTTTCAGCTTTTCATAATTTGTTCCCTACAACTAGCTCAAATTCCTAATCTTCATGTGGTGCTTATTAAGACAGCCTAAATATAGAACATTAAATCTCTGTGTATTTCAAGTTATCTGCAAGCCTCAAGAATCGGTAAAAGGAAACAAGAGAGAGGGCAACCTGCCAGCAATAATATGGCTTTAACAAGAGTATGAAATATTTATAGAACACATAAGGAACAAAAGGAAATATAGTATTTCCACCATGCAAATCTATTTGCAGTAATTTCAGTATTTTGTCCTGTCCTGTGTTCTGAACAAGAGTTACCAACACCAAGGTTCTATATGATCTGCATTGCATATTCCTAATTTATTTTGTGCATCCTATTGGAAGCTTAATATGTAAAGACTGCAATACTTCTAGCACTTACCTGGGAGTAATCTCCATTTAACTAAGCAGGCTTTATTATGAATAGGTTTGCACAATAGAAATGCCAGTATTGGATTGCATCCAATGGTATAATTTAGCAAGTGAGAGAGAATTGTGATGAAATGTATTTCACCTCCTCCTACACTGTCCCAGTCTGGGGTACCCTCCAGAACAGATTTGTACATGTACATGCTGGGACTACAGGAAGAAAAAAAAGATAGGCAAGTCCCACTGTTGTTGATATGTGAATGCATGTCATCTCTGACTTATGGTGACCATATGAATTAATGTCCTCCAAAATGCCCTGTTCTTGTCTGCCCTGCTCAGTTTTTGTTAACTCTGGGCTGTAACTTTCTTTGTGGAATTGATCCATCTCATTGTTGGTTTTCCTCTACTTTTTCTGCCACTGACTTTTTGTAGCATTTTTTACTTCTTCAGGGAATCTTGCCTTTTCATGATATGCCAAAAGTATGATAGCTTCATTTTTGTCATTTTTGCTGCTGGGGACAGTTCAGGCTTGATTTGATTCAGGACCCACTTGTTTCTCTATATTTCTGTCCAGGGTATTTGCAAAGCTCTCCTGCAGCATTGTAGTTTGGAAACATCCATTTTCTTCCTGTCAGCTTTCTTTCCTGCTCAGCATACACACTCATACCTAGTGAGCAAGTACTATTACACAAGATAATTTAACATTGTGCAAGCACTGGTTTCCATTAGCACACTGTCAGTTGCACTAGAAGAATGGCACTATTGGATACTAATCACAGTCCTGTGAACACTCAAACTGGAGGGAGGTAACTGGGTGGTGGGGGCGGGGGTGCCGCAAGGTTTGGTCCTCTGCCTCAGGGCTCTTCAACAGCTTTATTAATGATTTAGATAAGAAATACAAGGAAAGATAAATTTATAGACTGGGTGGAATAGTGAACACCCTAGAAGACAGAATGAAGATCTGAATGCTGGGAAAAATTTGAATGCTGGGCTGAAAGCAACAGAATGAAATTCAGTAGGGACAAGTGCCACGTCCCCACCTAGGAAAAAGATCAAATGCATTGATATAAGATAGACAATACATGGCTCAACAGATGTGAAAAAGGAAAAGACCTGGGAGTTATTGAGGATAACAGGCTAAATATGAGTCCACAATGTGATGCAGCTGCAAAAATGGAAAATGCTATTTTGGGATGCATTAATAGAAGTCCAAATCATGAAAAGTAGTTGTTCCCTCGCTAGTTGATCTCATCTGAAATACTGTGTCCAGTTCTGGGCACCAAGATTTAAGGTGCAGAAAAACTAGAAAGGGTCCAGAGAAGGGAATAAAAATGATCCAGGGTTTGGAAACTCTACCCTATGATGAGAAAGTGGGTGACCTGGACATGTTCAGCCTTGAAAAGAGAAGACTGAGAGTGGACATGGTATCTCTCTATGAGTACCTCAAAGGCTGTCAAGAAGAGGAAGGCTAAGATCTCTTTTCACTGATACCAGAGTGCAGGACACGGAATAATCAATTCAAGCTGCAACAACTCAGATTCAGGCTAGATATCAGGAAAAGTTTCTGCACTGTTAGAGCAATATGACAATGAAGCCATTTGCCTAGAGAGGTTGCGAGCTTCCCACACTAAGGACATTCAAGGCAAAACTGGACAGTCATCTGAATGGGATGTTGTAAATTGGTGTCCTGCACCAACAGGTGGTTGGACGCAATGGCCTTCATAGCCCCTTCCAACTCTACTATTCTATGATTCTACAATAAGCTGTTTAATTAACATAAATGAGAATATTTAATATTGATTCTGTGTGAAATCACTCCATATAGAACTCTATCTAATTAAGGTTCCAGCTCAAGCAGAGTTCTACACATGTAGACTTTCCCTGTTATATCTATGATGATACATGATATCATATATCATATACAGTTCAGGTACTATGAATTTTAAGGCTAAATACAACCATTTGACTTTTGTGGAATTCTACAGGCCCTTTGTAGGTGCTGAAGGGTTTCCAGCCTCAAGGAAACAAACTCTTAAAGCATATAAATAAAACTGCTTTGGCAGTTTTTTCTTAAAGCTTTTTCTACCAAAGAACAGCATTTGTGCCAGATTAACAGATGAAAGCCAGTTGTGAGTAGCAGCATTGTCAGTGCCAAGCAGATATAACAAGTTTGAACAGGGAGAAGCTTCATTGGAGATCACACTAGAAAGCAGGATCTAATTAGAGGATCAGGGTGGTTGGTAGGGGAGATGGAACCCATTTCCAGCAGAACAACATGAATTTCCTCTGAACCCAGACAGGTGTTGTGAAACAGTGGGCCCACACACTTTTGGCTTTATCTTCCTTTGGAAGATAAAGGAATGTATCTCCAGTGGTTATCCATATGGAAAAGTGGTCCTTTGGCTGAAAAAAATGTTCCCCACTCTTGATTTCTAGCCCTTTTCATGTATTATCTGAATATATAATGAATGTGCATAGAAGGACATTCTCTGCTTCAGATCGGCATGTCCATCATAGTGGCTCACTTCTCATGACACAGCTGTCCATCAAAGGTTAATTTACTCTCAGGAAGTTGTAGCACATGCCAGCCACCATTATGAATATGCAGACCATAACTTGGGATTGTCATGTTATGTGAACGTGGCTAGGGAGTTCGCTTAAGGATTAAACAACACTTCTATAACTCACAGTCTGTTGCAGATTTATGCAGGGGTTCTTTAACCCTCAAATGATCACAGGAATATGGGTCCTCAAGACTTTGCAAGTCCGAGTTATATTCATAATGACCATAAACTCCACAGTTCCTCAAGGGTAAATTAACAGTCAATGGACTGTTGTGTCAATCAAATCAAGCCACTATCTGAGAAGAACTCCACATGTCTAAAGGTATGTATGGAGAAGTTCCATACACAGGGACCGCCATCCTATACTAATGGAGAGCTTTTCATCCAATGAAAGCAATATGTGTCAGGAGTGAAACTTGCCATTGCTGTCACCCATATCCCACAAAACACATTCATTGTATGTGTAAATAACATCTGAATTTAGCATCTGTGGCAATTCTCATCTATTTCTGGGGAGCACTTTTAGAATTATTAAATTATGTTTATTTATTATGCTTTATTTAAATCCCACCTTTCTCCCAGTGTAGAACTCAAGGTAGTTCCCAGGTGGTCCTTTCTCCAAGTTCAGGTCAGTCCCACTGCTTAACTTCAACATGGCAGATGCTTTGCATGGCTTCAGCCCATAAACTGGGCTGTGAGGACTATCTATGATTCTATAATATGGGAAGTCATAGAATCATGGAAGAGTAGAGTTGAAAGGGGCCATGAAGGCCATCAGGTCCAACCCCCTGCTGTTGCAGGACACCAATTTACACCATCCCACTCACATGGCTGTCCAGTGTTCGTATCCTTCACAAAAAATATCAACCACATAGATTATGCCGTAAGCCCTCTATAACCCTAAAAGGGAGTATGCATCTGTTTGCCTGATAGGGCCATTCACTCTCTGAATTTAGTATGCATAGCAATGGAACCCTTTGGATGTGTATCTTGGGATTATTTTTCAAAGACATTTCAATGGGGCCATGTGTTTTGACTGTGTGATACCTTCTTCAGGTAACAGGTGGAGGGCTTCCTACACCAGCCCACAGTTCTGCAGCAATGTGCCCCCATGCAACTTCTTTGCATCCCACCATGACAACATGTTTTTATTTATTTGTAACTTCTACCTGCTGCTATCTTCATTTTTCATGAATGCCTCTGAGAAGGCTATTTGTCCTATGTGATTGACTATGCATACCTATGGCAGCCATTTTATGTTATATTTCCAAATGTGCCCATGGTCCCAAAAGCTTGCATATCTCTAGTGTAAAGCCCCAGGAAAGTCATCCAAGGATACAATTATATGGCTACTACCTCCATCCTGCTGTAGGATGAGCCCATTTCAGGGGGATTGAATCAGCTGGCCCCTCTGTCAGGGGATAAAGACAGGGGCCATAAAAGCCTTGGGGTACCAGGGGGTGTGGATTCATTCAGAAGGGGCTGCACAGTGGGTCCACTATACATCTGTGTAACTTTGCTTGAAGACTACTATATTCAAGCCAGGGCTACTTCAAGTCTCGTGAAGTCCAGTCCATTGGCTAGTTCTAAATGTGGCTGAAAAAAATTAAAGATTTCACTACTAGGAAGTGTTTCAAATAGCTTCCCTATGACAATTGTAACATGTGTGCTCACTCATTCTTAGATAAGTGCTGAGCATGTAAGAAGATTTGCAAGCAATGACAGCAGGGAAAGAGAATTTGTAACATGGATTCAAATTCTTGTACATTCCCACTTTGGTCGGTATGCTAATAATCAGAACAAACCCTTTTTCAGTTCAATGCCCTTTGGGGATGGAAAGGAAAATTGTACTTGGAAGATAAGTAACTCTCCACACATTCCATATTAACTAGGCTTCCCAAGTTGAAGAAAATTTTCAAAAACTCTTTCTTTCTGATTTCACAGCTGGTTAGTTTTACCATTTCTTTCTCAGTATGAAAAATTGTGCCTGTTTGTTGCCTCAG